TTCTACGCCCTGTCTGCCGCCTTCTACATCGTTAACTTCCTCTCCTTCCGGCTCGGCCTGCCGGGCATGCCTCGGCCAGCGCTGGAGTCAGTCAACGCCTCCGCGTTCGAGCTGTGCAGGCTCCCGTGGGCGGACGTCGTGGCTGGCCCTCCCGAGCCGAGGACGCCGTCGAAGAAGCTGCCGCAGCGCTGCTTCGACGCGCAGTACCTCGTCGCCCTGCTTACCGAGGGCTTCGGCTTTGACCTCGGCAGCTCGCAGATTACCTTCGTGGAGAAGGTTCGAGCCGGGTATCGATTGCAGAATGGATTTCTCGTAGAATTTTGCCCGTCGACTCCAGGAGAAGCATGCCACGTTTTTTTTGTGGCTTCGACGAGCGAGTCATTGCTGGGGCAAGGCAGCTCTGCAGTCGATGCCCTGCTCAAAAGGTGGGCGTGGGCCAACCAGAGTGGGCCTACGGAGCTAGCTGCGACGGGCTCCGGCTGCTCCCCTCTCGACGCGGGCCCGCTCCAGCGAACAGCCTTCGCCTCGAGGCGACCCGTGCTCCACGCTCCGGCGCTCTTACTGAAGCGGCGGTTTTGCGGAGCGGGTCGTCTGCACGACGAGATCCGGTCGTGGTGCCAAGTCGGGCATGCAGGGCTAGTTTCGATTCCTCCGATTCGATTCGCCTGGATTTCGATGGGTTCCGACTCCGGTTTGATTCGACTTCGGATTCCGATTTGGACTCCTATTCCTCAATGGAGGCCTATTAGCCACCAGCCTGCCGATTTCTGCCGAGTTGACCTCTCCCGACGTGGCTGCCGATTTCCGCCGACCCGAATCATTTCGATCGCCGATTCGATTTGTGGATTCGATTCTAGGCTCTCCTGGGCATGTTCCTCTACAGGAGGAATTTTCAAGAACGGTAGAAATAGTCTGGTGACGATGTTTCATTTTCTATTTTTCTTCCAGAATCCGCCTGTAGGAGGACATGCCCGATCTATAGTCATCGTGTAAACTTTCGGGGGGCCGCGCGGACTCCCTTGCGTCGGCGCTGCTGGACCTCCAACAGTGTCTGCTCGTGCAGCTTTGTTGTGCCGTCCATCGTCACCCAGGTCACCAGAACAGGAAGTACCACAACCACAGGGCTCGTTTCGATTCCTCCGATTCGATCCGATTCGATTTCGATGGATTCCGATTGCGATTCGATTCGGCTGCTGACTCCGATTTGAGTTCCGATTTTCTCGATGAGGCCTTGTTACTCTTGCCGATTTCAGCCGATTCGACTCCTCCCGACTTGGCTGCCGATTTCCGCCGATCCGATCCATTTCGATCGCCGATTCGACGTATCGATTATATTTTGGGCTCTCCTGGCCACCATCAGCCGAGAAGGGGGCTGGTCGCTCCCCCTCCCCGAGCTGGTGTCGCCCCGTTCCGGGCGCGCCCCCAGAGGAGTGCCTGGGACGGAGTGCTTGCAGCTTAGGGGTGGTCCTTTTGGGAGCGGAGTCGGGGGGGAACAAACAAACACAGACACAATTCATCGTCGATTCCCAGGAAAAGATGGGAAAATGTGGGAAGTGGGGGGAAGACGAAAATAAGAAAGAATACGGGAGAATACGGGACATCCTGGGATTTGTGTGTATTTCTTTGTGTGTCCCTGGGCCCCCCATCTATGGAGCTCTGGTGGCAGTGGCTCTTCTTGCTCTCGTGACCGGGGGGATCTGGTCCCGCAGCGCGGGCCCCCTCGGTGACCTCGCTCCGAGGAGGGCTGCCTGCGACAGCGAGAAGGCCGGAGCTCTCCCCGGGGCGAGCTCGCCGAGAGGCCAGGTGCTGCCGGAAGCGCCCCTGGCCCAAGGTGCCCCCAGGATTTCCAAGGAGGCCCCCACGGCCTCCACAGCATCCCGCACGAGGTCGAGAGGCCCCAGGGGCTCCAGCATCGAGCGACAAGCTGGGGGCACCTGGGCCAGGGGCACCTGTAGCAACGGTGCTCCGCGCGGATTTCTTGGATCCGCGCTGGGCCCCCCGCGGCGCCTCAGGCGCCGCCCCTGGCGCGCGAAGCGCGCCAGGGAGCGGGGCCCAGCGCGCAGATCCAAGAAATCCGCGCGGAGCGCCAAAAGTTTCTGCTCATGTTACTGTTTCTTCTTCTAGACAGAGGGGGCCGCCGCCGAGAGGGGGCACAGACGGGCCCGTCGACGTCGCCTGGCACCTCGCGCGCTCGCCGCCGCAGCACGGCGCCGGCCCGCCATCGCCGCAGCACGGCGCCGGCCCGCCATCTCCGGAGGGCACCCGGCCGACGCCGATGCTGGCCAGGCCCGTAGGCCGCGCCCACGGGCGGCGCACGCGCCCCCTCTCCCCTCGGAGGGCTGCGCGTACCGGCCCCGGGGCCCCTTGGGAGCAACGTCTGAGCGCCCCCCGCACGAGTCCTCGGCGGGGCCCGGCACTCGGAGGAGGAGAAGGTACCCATACCACTATCCTTAGGTCGGGTATGTCCTCCTACAGGCAGATTTTGGGCGAAAGATCAGAAGCAGTCAAAACAGATTCAAAAATAGTCAAAAATAGTAGAAACATCGTCCCCAGACTGTTTCCCCTGGTAGAGGGGCGTGCCCGACTTAAACACTACCCTTCGCCCGTTTCCTCTTTTTTCGGCCTCCTCGGAGGCCCTCGTCGCCACCGCTGCATTCGCCTCGAACATCTGGTCAGGAAGCACCCCGGGAGAGGTCTGGGGAGAAGCGGTATCGGTACCTTTGGGTTGCCCCAGGGAGGACGGCAGGAAGGTGCATTCTGGCGCTGGCCTGCGACGAAAAGATACTCTCATGGCTGTATTCACCCGCACACCGATCCTGGCCAGGTCCGTCCTGGGCCCACGGGCGGTGCACGGGTGGCCAGGGTTGATGATCCTCGGGACGTGTGTGTGTGTGTGTGTGTGTGTGTGTGTGTGTGTGTGTGTGTGTGTGAGCGTGTATTTCTTTGTTTGTTTGTTTGTTTGTTTGTTTGTTTGTTTGTGTGTGTGTGTGTGTGTCAGCCCTTTGTGTGTCTACCCCGTTCAGCTCCGACGATGAGTACGCAGCCGGTGCCTGCCCTTCTTGCGCTGCTGGTGCCGTATGGAAGGGCTTCGGTGAACAAGCACACGGTGCCGCTGACATACGTTCTTAGATAGTAAGTGACATGTATCCAGACAAGCCAGATTCTCGAGGCCACGGCCTCACCCACATGGTCTCAGCTAGGCCCGGACGCTGTCCGCAACGGTGGTCGCATCGCATCGCATCGCATTGCATCGCATCGCAAGTCACGGAAGCTTCCGCTCGTCTTGGATTGGATGTATATCGGTGAACAGCGCCCAGAAGCGCGCACCGCGCACAGTAGCTATTGAAAGCGCTCTGTAGTGCTTGAATAACGCCCGCACTACGTCCGCTTGCTTTGCGCGCGATGGGGCACGCCATTGGGCGCCATGGGGACGACCAAAAGCTTCCGTGAGCTGCTCTCTAAGCGCTATGAGGATCATCGACAGGATCGGCTCGGGTGCACCGCTGAGCGACGCAAAGTAACGGGAACGTCTGCGCCAGCGTTCGCGCGCAAGCTGCCAGCGTCGGCTCGCGTGAGCGCCCTCGCCTCCACTGGCTTTACGCGCCGGTGGCCCGCGTAAGTCACCGCAGGAGGAGGAGGAGGAGGAGGCGGAGGAGGAGGAGGAGGAGGAGGAGGAGGAGGAGGAGGAGGAGGAGGAGGAGGAGGATGTCGCTACGTCGTCTCGCGTAAGACCCGTCTTTGATCGCCGCGCAGCCTGGCGCCCTCCCCACCGCCTGGAGCGGCCTCGCGGCGGCCGCGCTCGCCGCGGCGCTGCTGCCACTGGCCCTCGCCGCGGCCGCGCTCGCCGCGCGCGGCGAGGCTCGGTGGTTTTCGAAGATGGGGTCCTGAGGGATGGGGTCCTGAGGACGAGGTGCTTCGAACAATGTGAATCTACTTCTGAATCGCCTGAATCCCCCCCTAGCCTTGGGCCCTGAAGCCCTCCCACGAGTCTGCCCTAGCCCTAGCCTTGGGCGCAGAACGTCGTGCCCTAGCCTTAGGCCTGGAATCCCTCCCCATCCCCAGGACCCCACCCCTCAGGACCCCCTCTCTGAACCACCGAGAGGCGGCGGGCGGCCGCGGCGCGCCAGCGGCGGGGCGCGGCCGGGAGCGGCCGCCAGAGGCGGGCGCGGAGGCGGCCCCCCGGGGCGCGCGGCGGCGCGTGGCGGCACGGGCGGGCGCGGGCGGCGGAGCGGAGCCCAGGAGAGCCCAAGACCGGTGCTTCAAGGATGGGGTCCTGAGGGAGGGGGCCCAGGATTTCGGTTGTTCGAGGGTGGGGCCCCGAGGGAGGGGGCCCCGAGGACAGGGAGGGATCCAGGGGTGGATCTGCGTTCTCTGAGGCACCTCGTCCTCAGGGCCCCAGCCCTCAGGACCCCCATCTTCGAAAGGCACTTGCAAGGCGCGCCCCGGGGGGATGCCCCGGAGGGCCTCCGCGAGGGCCCGGGGCGGCCTCCACGAGGCGCCCTCGGGCGGCCCGGGGGGCCAGGGGAGGCCCTCGGAGAGGTCCTCCGGGCAGGGCCTCGCGCGGTGCGCTGGCGCGCGCGCCCCGTCCCCCCGCGTCGTCTCGGCTCGCTCTGCCTCGGCCCGTTCCTGCTCCCCCCTCTCCTCCCCACCTCGCTCTGCCTCCCCCTCGCTGGACGCTCCGTCCTGGCCTCGCCCGCCCCGCCTGCCCCTCCCCCTGCCCTCCACTCTAGTCCCCCCCCCCGTGCACTTCCCTCCCCACTGCCGTCCCGTCTCGTCCTCCCTCCCCCCCGCTCCCCCTCTTCTTTGTTGTTGTTTTTGTTTTTGCACTTACGCAACATGACCATGACTACTACTCTCCTCTTTCCCCGAATATGCGCTGAGAGAGCGTTCGCACCCCCTCCGCGTATGGTTTTTTACACATGATGTGGGCGAGATGGTCTTTCTTGCGCGTTTTTCCACTCCGAACGTTCTCGGTCCTTCCGAAATCGTGCTCCCGCTGCAGCGTGGGCATCGTTTTAGGATCGCGGCTCTGATCCTCTCGTTCAGAATGGCGCTCTTGCCCCAGCGCGGGCCACTTTTCTGGATCCGAGTCCTTCCTCATCGCTGTCGCCCCCCTCCTCCCTCCTCCGCCTTCCCCTTGTCCTCCTGCTTCTCTCGCCCCTTCCACTCTCGTTCCTGCTGCTGCTACTGTTCGTCCTCCTTCTCCTCCTTCCTGATATTCCTCCTTTTCCTCCTGCTCATCCTCCTGCTCATCTTCCACCTCCTCCTCTTCCTATATACGCAGCTCCCCTTTTCCGATTGCGCCGCACAGCTCGGTGAGGGCTCTCTTGCAGTTCCAGGTCCGCTATGGCACGCCTGCGCGGGTAGAGAATAATCAGCGCGATGGGAAGTGATGGGAGGGAGCGGTAGGATGTCAGATGTGGCGCGAGCGCACGTAGCTTGCCTTTTTTTTCTCTCCCTCTTACCCTCCTGCCTGCTGCCTCCTCCCTCCTCCCTCCCTCGTCCCTGCAGCTTCCGTTCCGTTCCTTCCGCCTATGCACGTTGAGGCCGTCTCAACTACCAGACCTTCATGCAGCCCTTCTATGACTACGCGGACCTGAACACGTACGTCGACGTGAACCCAGCGAGGAGCCTCTGGCGCGGCGTGCCTCAGCCTCCCCCTCCCGCTCCCGCTCCCCCCGCCCCTCCCTTGCCCTCCCCCGGTCATCCACGCTCGTCGTGGATGACCTCCGCGACGAGCGTCATCCACGACGAGCGTGGATGACGCTCGTCGCGGATGACGCTCGTGGGGCCCTCGTCCTGGGCTCGGGGCCATCCACGCCTGCCGTGCTCTCCGGGCGGAGCCTCGTCCTCCGCGCCCTTTTGCTCTGCCGCGGACGACGCGCCCCGCTCGGCAAAGGGGCCGCCCTGCTCTGGAGGGGCCGGGCCACCCAGAAGCGGCCCAGGTGCGGGTCGGCGGCGAGGAGCCCAGTGACGGGGGCGCCCGCTACAGCCGCGGGCGCGAGTCCGCGGCGCTGTAGTCACTACTCGGGGATCAGCACGGGGAAGGCCACGGAAGCGCTCGAAAGCGCGAGTCGCCGCCGAGCCGGACCAGGCTGGACCCGGATCGTCACACGGATCATCAGCTCAGCAGTTTCCTTGTCACGGTTCCCGCCTGGTTTGCGCATGTCGGGATGCAATTCCTGGGGAGGTTCACTTCAGTACCGGCGCTGGTATTGTCGCGGTCGATGACGAGTTTCATTTGGGCTGATCCAGCTTACTCGAGCTCAATCCCTCTTAATCCCGCTTCATCCGCCCTCATTCGGCTTGGTCCCGGGCTTGATTTGGCTTCATCCGGTGAGGTGGCCCTGTCATCGGGTTTAGAAAATCGCCCTTCATCTTTCTGGCGACGACCTCCAAGGAGTTGCCTCCTAGCGCATGCGGGTGCTCGCAGAAGCCCCAAATACTGACACGAGGTCTGCGCCGCCTCCCCAGGGGGCGAAACGCGTGCACCGAGACATCTTGTAGTATACGTGCCGTGGCCGACGCTTTCTGGCCGTGCCGCTCGGGAAACGATAGTTGCAGTTCGGGGGCCGAACGGTCATTCACTGTCACTGGGCGGGTGGCTGAAGTGGGATTCCGCGGTGCGGATTGTAGTAGTAGTAGTAGTAGTAGTAGTAGTAGTAGTAGTCGTCGTCGTCGTCGTCGTCGTCGTCGTCGTCGTCGTCGTCGTCGTCGTCGTCGTCGTCGTCGTCGTCGTCGTCGTCGTCGTCGTCGTCGTCGTCGTCGTCGTCGTCGTCGTCGTCGTCGTCGTCGTCGTCGTCGTCGTCGTCGTCGTCGTCGTCGTCGTCGTCGTCGTCGTCGTCGTCGTCGTCGTCGTCGTCGTCGTCGTCGTCGTCGTCGTCGTCGTCGTCGTCGTCGTCGTCGTCGTCGTCGTCGTCGTCGTCGTCGTCGTCACCGTTGTTGTCGTCGTCGTCTTGGTAGTTGTCGTGGTCGTGGTCGTCGTCTTGGTCGCCGTCGTCGTCGTCGTTGTTGTCATCCTTGTTGTTGTTGTTGTTGTTGTTGTTGTTGTTGTTGTTGTTGTTGTTGATGTTATTGATGTTGTTGTTGTTGCCGTTGTGGTTGCGGTTGCGGTTGCGGTTGCGCCTGCGGTTGCGGTTGCGGTTGCGGTCGGTGCTGCTGCTGTTGCTGCTGCTTGTGTTTCGGCTGCGGCTGGTGCTGCTGCTGTTGCTGTTGCTGTTGCTGTTGGTTGGCGTCGTCGTCGTCGTCGTCGTCGTCGTCGTCGTCGTCGTCGTTGTGGTTGTAGCTGTTGATT